TGTCTGGGCACCATAGGCACATTTCGATGCATCTTACTCGACTTGCAAGTGGGTCTAAGGGTTGTTTTAGGGGTAAAACCAGAAAATTGAAAAACTAGAAATACCAATTTTTCCCAGAAATACGTGTCTTGCGACATTTTCTTCACAACCTAATGTATTAGAAACTGTGCCTAGGCACGCAGTTTCTTATACATTTGGTTGTTAAGAAAATGTGTCGCAAGACACATATTTCTGGGAAAAATTGATGTTTCCAGTTATTCAATTTTGTTGTTATACCCCCTAAAACCTCCCTGGGACCCCCCCATTTGCAAGTCAAGTAAGATGCATTTAAATGTGCCTACGGTGCCTAGGCACAGTTTCTAATACATTTGGTTGTGAAGAAAATGTCGCAAGACAAGTAATTCTCGGAAAAATTGATATTTGTTGTTTTTCAATTTTCTTGTTTTACCCCTTAAAACCACCCTTGGACCCATTTGCAAGTCGAGTAAGATGCATTGAAATGTGCCTATGGTGCCTAGCCACAGTTTCTTATACATTTGGTTGTGAAGAAAATGTCGCAAGAACCGTAATTCTGGGAAAAATTGCTTTCTAGTTTTTCAATTTTCTGGTTTTACCCCCAAAAACCACCCAGTCGAGTAAGATTTATTGAAATGTGCCTATAGTGCCTAGGCACAGTTTCTAATACATTTGGTTGTGAAGAAAATGTCGAAAGAATCGTAATTCGGGAAAAATTTATATTTCTAGTTTCTCAATTTTCTTGTTTTAGCCCCTAAAACCACCCTTGGATCCATTTGCAAGTCGAGTAAGATGCATCGAAACGTGCCTATGGTGCCTAGACACAGTTTCTAATATATTTGGTTGTGAAGAAAATGTCGCAAGACACGTAATTCTGGGAAAAATTGATATTGCCAGTTTTTAAGTTTTTTTTGTTTTACCCCCAAAAACCACCTTTGGACCCATTTGCAAGTCAAATTAGGTGCCCTGAAAGGTGTCTATGGTGCCTAAGCACAGTTTTTAATACATTTGGTTGTGAATAAAATGTCGCAAGACACGTAATTCTGCGAAAATTTGATATTTCCAGTTTTTCAATTTTCTTGCTTCACTCCCAAAAACCACTCTTGGACCCATTTGCAACTCAAGTGAGGTGCCCCATAATGAGTTCATCGTGTGTAAAAGCATTTTTGACTTCACCTGGTTGAGAAAAATATGTGGAAAGTCCCGTCCGTAAGTTGGTGAAAAATTAATATTTCAAATATTTTAATTCTTTGTTTACCTTCAAAAACATGTATTGGATCCATTTGCAATATTCTCTTGTTTACCTTTAATAACTGGATTAATTTTATCGTATTTATAAAAAAAGGAATGTATAATATCTAAAAATAAGACATAAACGACGCCATTGATTGTTTGGGTAGACTCGGGAGTCAGGCTGCTAACTTTTGGCTGCCAAGTTCACGCCAGTTGGCGCACCACAGTTTTTATCCATTTTTAGTAATTGCATCGCCCCTATTCCTTTTCGCTATTTTGGTATTATATTGTACATAGATCTAGTGGAAGCACTTAATTCGGTCAACAAAGAAGCTTTTTGGAAGATATTGGCAATGGTTGGCTGTGCCAAAGATAATCCTACTCCGGAGTAGGATTATCTTCGGCTGTGCGCAAAAGTACATTCCGATACTCCGCCTACTGCATGATAATATGCATGCAACCGTCCTAAGCAACGATGAACAAGAAACAAGGAGAATCTTTTCAAATGACTCCAGGATCTCTATTCTCAAAACCGGGGAGCAGCGTTCGCAACAGAACAATTATTGCTCTGTCTTTGTCAGGGTTATGTAACTATAAATATGGGTGACGAAGAAAGAGCCTTCGTTCTCATGAGAACACTGCTTCCCTGTCTCGAGAATAAGGACCCAGGCTTTAAACAGGGTTGTGTTATTACACCCCCTTTATTTTCTCTATTATTGGATCCATACTCCACCTTGTCGAGGGTCACCTGCGGTCACGAATGAAATTACTGTACCAGACTTGATGACGATGCAAGACGAGTCTTCAACATTCATGACATCAGCGCTGAGACCAAACTTCGCGTCTGCAATACAGTGGTAATACCAACACTTACATAATGGCTGCGAAACATGGACCACCTACAAAAGACACATAAAAAGCCTAGAAAAATACCACCAGGACCAACGAACGAAGATTAGTGCTTTAGAGGAGGCCAAAACAATTGGCCTGGAAGCGCTCATCATTAAGCACCAACAAAAACGCTGGTCAGGTCACCTCATCCGCATGCCCGAAGCTCGTCTTCCATGATAGATTCTCTACAGTCTTCTGGAAGAGGGAAATCGAAATCAAGGGAAGTCAACAAAAACGCTACATCGATACCAGCAACTAGGAGACGATGGCAAATGATAGGCCCTCACGGCTTTCAGTAGTCCACAGTGGACCACAAACTTTTGAAGAACAGCGATGTAGACATTAGACCGAAGAACGGGATCGCGGGAAAGAGCGAGAGAACAGAGGAAGGGACAATGATGCTAGAGGCTAGGTGAGTCAAGTTTCTGGAAGAGTGTGTGACACCAGAACTGGTTTATATAGCCATCAAAACCAGCACATACTCGATTATACTCGATATCGAGTGATCGCCTTATGATTTTATGTTTGTTTGTTGATATTCTGGTACTTCGTTTTACCGCCTGCCAATCTTTAATTGTTTTCGTTTAGAGTTACCTCATGTGTGATTTTCATTCACAAATATTTATAATCAGCCCACAAAAATGTGTTGCAAACTATCCGAAATCACGTAGACAGTTTAGGCATTAGATGTTATTTTCTATAAATTAGACAATTCTGCTTAGGTATGGTTATGTAGCAGACGGTAACTTAAATGAACATACCTAGTTACCATAAAAACAAAACAACAAACCTAGAAGAGTTCTAGGAAGATAGAAAGCATCAAAGCTCAAATTTGAGTGGTTGTCTTTTCTGGGATTATGTGGAAACTAAGGAAGATTCCAGAAACTCTCACAGACTTCGTTGCCTTGGGAAAACTGGAACAAACCTTGGTTTCTCCTCTGTAGAATTATCTTCTTCTTAAACTACTAAATTGTTAAGTATCTTTATGAAAACATTAACAGCTCTTAGGCTTCTTCTTTTAACTGATGAGACCCAAAAAAGTCGAAAGCTGCCTATACTGGGATTAATCACAACATCTAAAAGTGATATTTTTGTCGATTACGAGACCCAGTTTACCAGCAGGAGAGATTTCAGGAACGGAAAATTTGACAAAGCCAGTGAAATGTCGCAGAATACTGCGTTTTTGACCGTCATCTCCAAATTCGCTCTTTTTACCGCAAAGCGTTTTGAAAAACACTGTTAAGTTTAGCTAATTTCAACTTCTAGTGGTTGAATCAAGACAAAGACGGTCACCATCTAGTTTTTCAACTTAGTATAACCAAAGGTTGTATCAACTCATAAAGTTGATCAGCTTTATCTATTATGTCCTTGGACACAAGATCATATCACTTTTTTTTCAAAGAGTCTAACAAAATTTCAGGCACTGTTCTAATAGCATTTATTTTTGGGTTTATGCCTGGATTTAATGTTATAATGATGTTGTGTTGAAAAATTTCCTAAACTCTCAAAAACATTCGAACGGTTATTAACAACGTCATTTAAAGTTTCAAACCATCTTTGTTTGCTCAGAGAATCTACTCTACCTATTTATTAAGTTGAATCTTAACACCCGTAAACCTAACAAAGGAATCATACTTTTGAGCTCTACTATAATACAATAAACTCTTTCTTTATACGTTTTAACTTTACTCTATAAAACAACTTCACCTTAACGTTTTGGTTTGAAATTCACCATAATATGACATCAAAGTAATATTCGTCTTACGTATAGACAAATTTAGAGCGATTTCATTCAAAAATTTCAAAGGTAACGTGCTTACCTCAGCTCCGGTGTCCAGCTTGATTGATATGGAGTTTTCATACCAAACTGGCAAAACAGCAACTTGGCAAGTTTCAAAACAGTTGCTGTTTTATTTTTCGTTCGTCAGAGTCGGTAACTTCAAAGAATTACTGCGTATGTATTACATCTCAGTCAACTTAATGTTAACAGTGAGTGGCGCGTTTCTTTTACCAACATTCAGAGTCAGACGGCTGTGGCTATGATGATTGCGTGCTCAAGAAGTGATTTTTGTTATTTCTCACTAAACATATTTATTTTTAAACAGAAAAAACTACCTACTCTCCTTTTTTTGACTGGCAAGGAACTTAACTAAGAAATAAAACCGCAAAACAAAACTACAACTGTTTCCCTGGTAGACCGTCAGCTAATGACAGATTTTGCTGACTGGCGATTTTTTCTTTTCGGGGATTTCAACCACTGAAAATTATGTCAGTGCTAAGCTCAAAAAGTAACGTCTGTTAGGCATATGGAAAATTTATTTTCCTTCTGCAGAAAAACCTAGGTGACGGTTTATGGTGTAAATGATAGTCTGTTTGGTCTAAACAAGCGTTTAATTTTTGGACTTTGAGTTTGTGTTTTTGAAAACTGGCGAGAAGAACCAACAATCAGCATTTGTATCCGGAACATAGAGCAACTCGGGGGATCATTTCCAGGAAGAAGCAAAAGTTGCTCAATCTAGCTTTTGGTTGCGAAATATCTTTTGTAGGTATTCGATCATCAAGAAAACAAAGGCACAAAAATCTAAGATACAGTGTGCGCTGCCAGTTATTATTGAAAGTCAATAAAACCTTAACAGTGTTCTGTAACAATTAAGAAATTACCTCCAAAAATAAATCTCAAATATTATTGATATCAAACAGTGTTTATTTCAAAAATCAGTGTTGCTGGCTCCCGGACTACAATATTTATGATGAAATTTCAAATTTCCCGCAAATCCTATACCGTTAAGTAGTACTGTTGCGGATAGTTACACACTACCAAAATCATGTGTTTACATTAGTACTTTCTAAAACCTGCTGTCCGCGACTGCATAGTAGTACCCATCGACTCCACTCGTTTGGTATTTCTCGCGTTGGCCGTGAATAATATGGCGGATCTACTAGTACCAAAAGTTAAAATTAATAAGTAAAATACTATTTAGTATCTGCGAAAATAATATGGCGTGGATAACGTGACTACCCAGTGAAATTTTGTGTTAGGTGCAATAATAGGTTCTGCGCGTGAGTGATCAAACGGATTTGGATCTGGGGATATCAACGGCCAATTGGATAATGAACCTTTTATTTCGATTGATAGTGATTTCAATTAATTTTCACCCTTAGTGTTCCAATCGCATGCATCATGGATTGGAAATCATCATCATTGATTGGGCTACTTTCTTTTGCATATTTATTTGCGCAAGGTTTGTTAATCTTTTACCTGGTTTGGTTATATTATAGCAAGTAATAATTTTTCGACGTTATTTTGTGTTATAAAATAATTTCAAAGTATTTGACTATATATGGTTTTATGGTTCGTTTGAACCCATGACGTACGGTTTTAATGAGCCAATGAACCACTCAATGTCAGGTGTATATACAGTTAAGTAAATAAATTATTTGTGAAAATACCTGTATGTATGGTGAAGTGTGGAGTGGGTTTCTCACTAAAAAGATGAATTATACATAAAATTGAATAAGTTATTCTAATTAGCAATTAAAGAGTTGAGTACTTCATCAGGTTTTCGGACATGCTGGAACGTTTCCCTTTAAACGATGTTTTGATATTCTAAGGGCCGGTTTCTCAATAGCAAGTCACCCCCAGATATAAAATTATTAGCTCATCTCAAGCTGATATGAAGTTCAATGATATACATATATATATTATTTATTCTCAGTTGTGTTCAGCGATAAAAGTGATATCCGTTTTTTTTTTTATATCAAACTATGATTAGAAAAAAAAAGGCTAACCCTCAATTATTACGAATCCGAAAAAATTCCTGATCTTGAGTGGACATTTGCGGAATAGATATGAATTAGTTGTTCAGTTCCTAAAATAGGTTTTAGTTGTCCTGGAAATAACTGAGAATTCCATGTCGGGGAAGTTAGCAACACATTCGAAGCAGAATCACTAAAACATGTTCCTACTTGTGCTGCTTTAGTCCTGCCCCATCCTGCTTCAAATCTGACCCCGGCAACGCGTACTATTTTCGAGATACAGCGATTTTCATTTTGGTTGCTAACTTCACCCTTGACAACACATTGAAAGCAAGATCGCTAAAACAGGTTTCTGCTTGTGCTGCCATAGTCCTGTCTCATCCTGCTTTAAATCACACCCCAGCAACACGTACTATTTTCGAGATACAGGAATTTTCATTGGCTTAGGAGCACATTGGAAGCAGGATCGCTCAAACATGTTCCTGCTTCTACTGCTATGGTCCTGCCTCATTCTGCATCACTTTTCACCCCAGCAACACCTAATATTTTTGAGATACACACTGGTAGCATTTCAAGAGTCGAGTCGTAGGAATAGGAAGAGCTCGAGACACCGTTGCCAAATATATCGTAATGAGTGCTTGTCTCTCTATGTTGGTAGTTTTGACGAAAAAAGCTAATCCAAACTAATCCATTCCTCTGTAATGAATGCGAGCCTCTGTGTCTTGATTTTTGAGATGAAAAGAGCTAATTCAAGGATTGAATTGAAACTAACCCGTTCTGAGATAGGTGGCCTATCTGCGCTTCCGTGGGGTTTTTATTTTTATTTTTTTCTTAAAGATTATTAGGAGGACGGGTTAGTTTGGGAATTAGCTCTTTTCGTCTAAAATACCAACATGCAAAGACTAGCATTCATTACAAAAGGACGGGTTAGTTTGGATAAGCTCTTTTCTTCTAAAATACCCACATACTCGGTCGCACTTATTATGAGGACGGGTTACTTTGGAAAGCTCTTTTCGTCGAAAATACCAACATACAGGGACAAGCACTCATTACGATCCATTTGGCAACGACGGAGTCTCGAGCTCGCCGTGTTCCTACTACTAGACTATTGTAATGTTACCAGTGTGTATCTCAAAAATATTATGTGTTGCTGGAGTGATTGAAACAGTTTGAGGCAGAACCATAGCAACGCAAGCAGGAATATTTTGGAGCGATCCTGCTTCCAATGTGTTGCCAAGACAAGGGTGAGTTACCAACCATAATGGAAATCCCTATATCTCGAAAACAATAAGTATTGCCGGGGTGTGATTTGAAGCAGGATGAGGCAGGACCATAGCAACATAAGCAGGTTCATTTTTCAGCGACCCTGCTTCTTGTGTCTTGCCAAGGGTGAAGTTTGCAACCAAAATAAAAATCGATGTATCTCGAAAATAGTACGTGTTGACGGGGTCGGATTTGAAGCAGAATGACGCAGGACCATAGCAGAACAAGCAGGAACCTGTTTGAGCGATCCTGCTCCCAATGTGTTACCAATCAAAATGGAAATCGATATATTTCGAAGGGTGTTGCTGGGTTGCGATTTGGAGCAGGACAAAGCAGTAATATAGCAGCACAAGCAGAGCTGCATTTTGAAGATCCTGCTTCCAATGTGTTGCTAACTTCCCCGACGTGAGAATTCCCTAGTATTGAATTTACCTGTAGTTAACGCAGAAGGATCATCGGCAAATTCTGCGAAAATATTTTCAGGGTATTTGGCAACAAATTGATTTATGAACAAGATTGAAAACTGAGGGACTTCAGTTTTAATATCCAATGAAGTCAACGTGAAATTTCTTACATGTTTTCAGATATACTGTTTTCTATCTACCAAAAAGAATTTAGACCAGTTAAAGGAACGGCACTGTCGAATGCAGTTCGAATATAATAGCACAAGAAAAGGATGATTACTAAACACTGTTTGGATTCTGAATAAGCTTATTATTTTAATCAATTGGTACAACGCATTCACAGCATGATTTACCTCAGGATTATCCACTTTTACTCTAAACACTCTATCAGAACTTCGAATTAGTTCTGTTACACTACCAAGTATGGCAGAGAAAATGGTCTTCTCTCAGCAAAACTTTCAATTCTATGCAGCTTGGTAAACTTCTTTCTCTGGCTTACTCCTATTCGAAAATCAGACAAATACCCCTATTCAGTTATATCGAACAGTTAATTGTAGAACTTACCATAATCTAGAGGTGAAGGAGCAGGCAGCGAGCGAGAATTGATATTTTAGTGACGGAACGGAACGGGATGCAAAAGGCATGATCAGAGAATAACCTCGACTTCAGTTAGAACCGTATTAAAATTTATAAGAGACTACATGTTTGGTATTAGGCTTCCAGCTTTTCATTCAGGCTGATTGAAATTTTTGGACGCTAGTTATTCTCGCATTTCTGGTCCAGGTAGATCAAATTAGCCTTGCGGCGGATATTAGCTTGAGATTCTTGTTCTCATCAACTGTAGCTGAGTGAAGCTGCCGTTGGTGTTGATACCTATAACGACGCTCTAACGCTTCAAGAAGCAATGCTACAATAATGCGGTATAGCCATGTTATCAGGGCTCCGACCATCAGCCGTTGCAACGATATATCGAACTGATGCCTTCACCTCGCCCAAGATATCTGACTGTCGTATGGTGCTGGCTTAACTTTAACACAAGTTGCAGGTGAAGCAGAAACATTTTCTGATTTTGAGTCACTCTAAAACCTATTAAGTTTCTTCTGATCACTATCCATTTCTAGGCGAAAGTTCCAATTTTCTGACAAATAGTTCCAACTACTTTTGGGTTTTCTCTCGAACTCCAATCTTGCTGTTGTTGTAGAAGTTTTGCATGTCGGTCATAGGGTCATATTCTTTATGTCTTCTTGCCATTCTTTTTGTCTTCGGGCTTTCTCTTCTGCTCTTCGATATACTATTCATGAAGTGATTAAGAAATTATTAGCACATAAAATTCGAAATTTCGACGGTACGCGTTATTATTGTGTGCATTATGTGATTATTGATTTCTGAGCATAATTTGAAGATAGGATTTATGGCGTTCTTAGACAAAGACAATCTTGCTTGCTAGAAAATGTCTCCTCATTTTCAAGCCTTCAAGATAATGGTATAATGTACCTTTATCATCAATCTCTCTCTTTGAGGCTGAGTGTAGGTATTGTATATAGACACCAAACAGTCTAACTTAATGTTTTTTTTTTTATTCGCTTTTCCAATGACCTAATACATGGAAGCAATCGCAATTTCCATTCGTAAGCGTAACTTTTTGATGTGCAAGATGCGCCTTCATCTTGAAAGTAATAATATTTATCGAACTACATCAATTAATTATTAATTCTGTGTCTGGAGTGATTCAAATAAATAAATATAGTGAAAGGACAAAAAAGTATGGTCTTGATCGAGATAAAAATGTGGTTATTCAATAAAATTCTTGCCTTTTGTTCTTTCTAATTATAAAATGCCTTCGAATAGAAAAATCTATTTTGATTTTCTGCTTGTTATAAATGTGATTTAAATTTTAATTGAAATTATAAAGCAGTGACCTGTGTAAATGAACAAACTATACGTCTTTATTTTTATAACTACCTTGCTAAATATGGAATGAATCTAATTTTAGAAATTTATTTTAGCCATATTCTTTAGCATTTTTATATTTTGAATATTATTGTCCTTTCTAAACTTCAGCCGATATTTCACTGAAAACTTCGAAACTCTGATCGGGCAAATAAATTCTTTAAATTTGGTTCAATATGGATCAATATAAGTACCAAAAATTCTTTGACTGTAAATAATTAAACATTAGTTGATTACCTTCGTATTTCCCCAAACAAGATATGTTTCGAAATCGACTTTGTTCAGACCCAGATTTACTAATAACAAAGACATTGCCATTCAACATTATTAAAAACCTCAAGGTTAATAAACAAACGATAAATATTCTTTTGATCCGGTATGAAGCAAAATATTGTTACATCATGTTTGTTGCCTGTAGCTTGTAGTGAGGATCTTGCAAAAAAAAAAGTTTTTTATAAGATATAAGATGTTGGAGAAATTAGCCACACATGAAAGCAGGATTGCAAAAAACAGGTTCCTGCTTGTGCTGCTATAGTCCTGCCTCACCCTGCTTCAAATCTATCCCCGGCAACACGTACTATTTTTGAGATTCAGCGTTTGCTAACTTCACCCTTGGCTTGGGAACACATCGGAAGCAGGATCGCTCAAACATGTTCCTGCTTGTGTTGATATGGTCCTGCCTCATTCTGCTTCAATTTCTACCCCAGCAACACCTTATATTTTTGAGATACACACTGATAGCATTTCAAGAGTCTAGTCGTAGGAATAGTCAGTGTCGGACTGGCCCACCAAGCAACCGGGCAAAATCCCGGTGGGCCAGGTGACGTTTCGACAGGTGGGCGATTCGAATATTTATTAAAATAAATTAA